TGGGTCATTCTTTTCCATGTTCTTTCACATTCAAATGTAATAGGTACGATTGCAAACCTTGAGACCAGAAAGAGATTACCTCTAATGTCTCTGAAGAATTGTGAGATAATTAAGTAGAAAATAGAGTTTAGGTAATGTGCGTTAATGAACTAGAGATGTGACCATGCATAGTATAAGATAATTTAGTATAAAACGTTTCTTCATGTGTTGTGTAATGAGTAGAGATTATATGCACATTATGTAATATAAAATACACTTTTAAGATATGTGTTATGATATAGCAGAGCACATACTGTATATACAATTATAGCATACATATTATATAAATTGTATGCTGGCGTTTTACAATACATTTCCTTAAAAATATGATATAGTGAAGTAGAGTACATACTACAAATAGTGTTTATGATACTGTCGTAGGGAACACTGAAACTAATGCAAAAATAATGCACTGTAGTGTGTACTACACTTAGTATATAACATGTAAACAGTGTGTTTTTCTGTTATAGAACAGTGGCCATATATTGTGCTGCAATGGTACATAACAAATCTGTTTGAATTATGTGATATTGAAGAGGAAAACATATTTTCAAGACATGTAGAATGCATAGTGTGAAAATTTATAGTAGAAAACATATCATACACAGTGTCTTATGATATAGAAAATATGTATTAGACACGACACGTGGTAATTTTATTGACAGCGTGCAGTTTATATAACGTGTTATATAGAACATTTCTAATATAATGTGGTAGAGAGACCATACCATCCATAGTGTGTTAGTATGTAGTTTACAACACACCGTACATAGTGTGTAATGATATAGCAGAGAATAGAACATACTTAGTATAATATAAATTTAAGGAATGTATTGTCCACAGGACGTAATAATGTAGTACAGAAAATAAAACACAATTGCTCTTAATAATTTAGGTAACACACCTTACATAATCTTGAAACGTTGTGAGGACTATAATGTCAAAATGTATGAAAATGCTGTGGAAATATTTTGTCATAGTGAGTTAACATCTAATAATATACACCATATTGTTTGTGGAAATGTTGCTGGAATATTCTACCATAGTGTGTGAACAAGAAATAATATAACCCATGTTGTGTATGAAAATATTGTAGGAATATATCATAATAACATTGGGAATAGTATATAAAAGCTTTTTAAGAATATACCATAACAGCATGTGAAAATGTTGCAAAAACTTTATCTTGTATAATCTACAGTAATAAAAGGGCGTGTCTATACTTCTCCCTGTGTGTGTGTGTGTGTGGGTGACAGCTATAACTCCAAAACGAAAAAGCCTAGGAACCTGAATTTTTTCACCCATACTAAGTGGACACTCAAGGTATGCACGTGGGTATTATTACTTATCCACGTGGGTGCGCGCATGCGCGTGTGAATTTTTTTATGAAACAAGCTAGCGAAAAAATACATAGAAAAGAAGTGTGAACACCATAGCTCCAAAAAGAAAGAACCTAGAAATGTGAAATTTTGCACTCTCTACTAAGTGGACTTTGAGGGACTGCACCTGGCTATTACTTATCTTATCCACGTGTGTGCGCATCTTTTTAATGAGGCAAGGTAGCGAGAAACTACGTAGAAAAGAAGTGATTCCTTATATTACAAATATATATCACAGACAGACAGGCACGCACATGCGTGCGTGTGCGCATGAGCATCTTTTTATTGACGCAAGCTAGCAAAGAATCACATACAAAATAAGTGGTTCTTCATATAACAACTTCTAATATATCGAAAAGCCAGTGCGTTTTGGTAACAATGCATTCCAACAATGGCTTTTATGTCATATTGCTTAGCAACAAAAGTATATAGGTTATACTTTAATGCTAAAATGGGTTCAGAATACACACACTGACATAGTCATCTAGAGTAGATCAACCTAATAACCCGAGAGAAGCTGGGTACTTTCGCTAGTATATGAATATTTAAATGCGTTATATGTCACCTACTAGGCTGTATGGTTGTTGAGTACAAACGATACTTTTCATATGATGACATAGTACAGAACAATCTAGACATATACATATTGTCTCATAACGCCGTGGGAAATGTAGCTTTATGAATTGTGAATCAACCTATCTAAGCCTTTCCTGAATAAGGTGTGTAATAATAATATGGTAGAAAACATGGCATACTTCGTTCTTGATTGTGTTATACAAAATGTCGACCTAATAAATATGTGAAGATCTTATAGAATATATATCGTATAAAATGATGATGTAGTAAATAACTTCGGATCAGAAGACAAGATCTAAGTTGATCCAACTGATTTCAATAGTGCTAATAATAATACTTTAGGATTTGTTTTATATGGTCTATGATTATTCCAAGACGCCAATAAAAATAATCATATTAATGAGCATTATAATTCATTTATAATTTTTTTATTTTGTTAATTTGTTTTTGGTAACTGGTGAAGTAAATGACAAGAATGTATAGCGATCGACATTAATATTAGTATGGTATATAATACTTTATGAAACGTGATCTGTAGATCGGATGTTTGAGTAATACTGCATTAAAATAAGACTCTTAAAATAAAATAAAAATGATTTAATGTCCTAAATAATTTTCTGGTAAGAATGCCTAATGGTATTTCTATATTAGAGGTTATCAGGCTGGCTGGGCATACAACGCAATGGTAAATTCTATAGGCCACTAAAGAAATATTTGTAAAAAATATTGTTAATAATATAATGTCCCTCAAACAACAAACAAGAATATTAATAGTTTCGCTTTTTGTTTACTTACTGATTATAAGGATTTTTAAATTACAAGTTACAGCTTTTACAGTAAGGAAGAATATTTTTTAAAACAGATACGACGTTTCGATCACCGGTGGGAGCATTTACAAGTACACAGGTTTTAACAGTAAAGATGGGTTTTCTGTAAAAGCTGTAACTATTAATTTTCAAACAAGAATATATTTGTTGTTAGCTAACAATGTGAAGAAATTAAATAATGCTAACATAGCTTAATAACAGTATATAAACCTACATCGTTTAAGAATACATTTAGTGACATTATATTTTTTTAATACTTTCTAATCCCTTAAAAAGGTCTGTCCATCTGTTTGAAAGCTAGAGTTTAACGAACTTTGTTGCTACATATTACTAGTTACTTTAAAGGGCTGAGACGATAATTGATCTAAGCATATATATAGCACTATATGTAATAAATACACAAGCTTTCGTTGTTGTTTTAACCACAAACTTACACAATGGGCTATCTGTACCCTATCCATCTCCGGGAATCGAAGTCCGTAAGCGTAACGTTTGCCAACCAGAGAACACTACTTACACAAAAAAAGTTGATATCTAAACATGTTTAATAGTGTGTTATTGACTAACATCTAAATATATATGTCTAATGTTAATTTTTCTCAGATATAAGAATTTAGAAACAGTAAGTATTTGGGATTTGTTATAAAAAACAAACAAACAAACTTGAACGCATAAATAAGAAAATGTTTTTTTTTGTTGTAATTTTCTTATTAAAGGAGCAGAACGGTTATTTTTCGTTTTTTCAGCTGCCCAAGTTATACGGAGTTCTAGCCCTATAATAGGTTCATCATCGTAGAGAAACAGGAAACTGAATAAACCTACGAACAGGTTTTAATCATACTGTTGCACATATTGTGTGCATCTTCAGTAATCTATCACTCACTGATCCAGTTACAGTAATTGGCCTACAGGTGGCGTATTTCTGTATCAGTTAATTTTTTGAATATTTTGTTTAAAAAATAAACAGTATTTCTCAATGTATCTAAAAGCAAACAATATGTTCTTTTTTCACTGATATCATTGAAGTCAAAACCTAAAAAGGCTTAGTACAAAACATAATCAATGATAATTTAAAGCTATCACATATATATATTATTTAATTTTTAAAACATGGTTTCTTTTCTTTTCAATTGCGGTATATTTTATTATTAGAAGAGGGTTTATATATATAGCATGAATGCATTCAGCATGAAAATAATTTAGAAGGGGGTTAATTATGATCGATAAAGACAGAGTCTAAAGGTGCAGCTTAAGTACATTTAAACGGTCACGTGATTTGTACGACGACGAGTTAATCTCTATAGTTGACAATCAACCTTTCTAGAATTCGATTATTTGCTGCCAATTTCCTGCGAGAAATTTACAATGTGCGTGTTTTAAGACAATCAATCTAAAACCGATGAAGAGAAATACCATTAGGTTTGTATACAGTTGTTCTACATTTTCGAAGTATTTTTTATACTTTTTTTATTTTATCATTGTGTAATCAATGTATCTAATACAAAGGCTCTTTATGCATGATTTAAGAATAGTATGGTTGAAGGTGTATGTGCTCAAGGAGGCTTTACCTTTTAAAATGATATCTTTCAACTAGTTCAGTGAGCGCATTTGGCACTCTAAAGTATACCTGATGGATTCTAGTTTCCTTAACCTACTACATTTTTAATTACAAAACTTTTCGAAACAATTACTTCTGCGTGATCCCACATTTTATTAGATAAAACTCAATGACATTTATGACTTGAACAGATTTCGTTTCTCATTAGTAAATTCACTATCAAAGATTTTCACGTAGTATAGTATGAAAAGCATCCTGACACTTGTGTCTTGGTGAGTCTTTGAGTCTTTTTATTTTGTACGACGAATGCAATTGAATAATTGATATTTGCAGGTTATGGTTGTTTCATTAGTACAATAATTTTGGAATGTAAGCTGTAAAGCAATTCTAACTCGTGCGTCAATTTGAATTATAAAAATTATGTTATGTTATTTTTGTTAAATAATTTAATCAGATTATTATTATTTATATGAGTTTTCAGTCTCATTTATCTACATACTGTCTATTGATATTTCAATTATGAAGTAAAACTAACGTTATTGTTTTAGATACCCACACTTTGTATTGTGAATACGATTATTTCTCAGACCTAAATATGTCAACATTTATTCTTTTCTTCAGGTATCAAGCATTGTCGGAAGAGCAGAGCTTCTCAGTGCTTTGTTTTTCTTCATCTCTTTTCTATCATTTTATAAGTAAGTACGTTAACACTGAATATTTGGAAATACAAGTACTTTTACGCATGTGTAATCGAGTGTCCATAGGAGTGAAATAGCCACGTGGCAGTTACGAGACAATAAAGTTGAGCCATATATTGTCATAAATAGTTATAGATATGTCCAAAAAATGACGGCAGATAAATTTATTCTAATTTTAAAAGTGGGTAATCAGATAATTCTCCAGCGTAGTCATATGATATTTTACTCTAGATAACATTATTCTTGTTTGTATTGCTGCAAACTGTAATAAAAACTTTTGGAACTCTGAAAATAGATCAGTTTTAAGAAAAGTTTTAGTGACTTGCGTGCTCAGTAAAAAGCTGATTAAAAGTGTCACGAAAACGTACTTTCCATATAGTAATAAAAAACCCTTCAAAATCCGAAGCTTATTTTAACACAAGAATCATATCTACAATTATAATAATTAGGCTTACATAAGGATGTAAAAGAAACTATAAATTGTTTATTTTTTACTGACTGTTAAACATATGTGTTAAAATGAAGTAATAGCTGAGAAACAACGTTTATTAAATATAATGACCGATAACGCAGTGTTTTCATCTCTGCTTTGTAATAAGGAATTCGAATCGAAGCGAGTCCTATTTTTTTGCAAAGCAGTCTGACTTGTAATTGGTTGTATTTTATAATTAAAACACGAGTTGTCTTTGATTTTCCTGAAGAGGAAAATTAAATTCTTTCAAAGTTTCATATTTATAATAAGAAAAAATTTTCACTTTTTTAAAATACAAATTTAAGTTTCATCTATATTGTTTCCCGATGTATTTACTACTACGAATTATCAAGAGTCACCAACCTCACCTGAGTTTACTCTGGTAAAACCGACCGAACTTGCATGTAGCTACACTATTCGCAAAAAGATATGGTAATGATAACAAAGTATATACAGAATAATTTTTATGTGGTTGCAATTGAAGATACACTAAACAATGATTTCAGTGTTATAGACTTTTATTTTTATTTTTCCGAGTTCTGTATTCTAAGTCTAACAGAAAAATACGAGAATTTTGTTGGTTAATTGTTCTATTTTTTTCGAGTATACCTTTTGACTCGAACAGAAAAATGTTTGAAACTCAATTTTTCTAGTTCGTTAATTCTTCCGAGTCTGTCTTCCATCTCGAAGAGAAAATGTGTAAAGCCACTGCTGGTTAATTATTTAATTTTTGGCGCTATTTCCGACTTTGACATAAAAACAATGTAGGGTTACAGCTATTTAATTACTTTATTCTTCCTAGTCTTGTATTTTAATTAAAACAGAAGTTTGGGGTTTTAGCTCTTTAATTCTTTTGAGTGCTTGCTTTTGGCTCGGCAAAATGTGCTGGAGCTGTAAGGTTTTAATTCTTATATTCTCTTTGTGATAACTTTAGACTCAGACAAAGTGGAGTTAGTGGATGAACCACTTTCCTTGATTTATTCTTCTGGTATCTATCTTTAGTCTCAGACGTGTGGAGGACCGCTGCTTTGTTGTTTTATTATTGGTGTTATTTACTTTAGACTCAGACAAAGTGGAGGTAGTGTATGAACAACTTTCCTTGATTTGTTCTTCTGGTTTCTATCTTCAGTCGCCCCCAGTGGCACAGCAGTATTTCTGCGGACTTATAACGCTAGAATCTGGGTTTCGATACCCGTGGTGGGCAGAGCACAGATAGCCAATTTTGTAGCTTTGTGCTTAATTACAAACAAACAAGCAATCTATCTTCAGTCTCAGACAGGTGGAGACCCACTGCTTTGTTGTTTTATTATTGTTGTTATTAACTTTAGACACAAATAAAGTGGAGTTAGTGTATGAACAACTTTTCGTAGATTTATTCTTCTGGTTTCTATCTTCAGTCTCAGACAGGTGGAGGCCCACTGCTTTGTTGTTTTATTATTGTTGTTATTAACTTTAGACACAAATAAAGTAAAGTTAGTGTATGAACAACTTTTCCTAGATTTATTCTTCTGGTTTCTATCTTCAGTCTCAGACAGGTGGAGGCCCACTGCTTTGTTGTTTTATTATTGTTGTTATTAACTTTAGACTCAGACAAAGTGGAGTTAGTGGATGAACCACTTTCCTTGATTTATTCTTCTGGTTTCTATCTTCAGTCTCAGACAGGTGGAGGCCCACTGCTTTGTTATTTTATTATTGTTGTTATTAACTTTAGACACAAATAAAGTGGAGTTAGTGTATGAATAACTTTTCCTTGATTTATTCTTCTGGTTTCTATCTTCAGTCTCAGACAGGTGGAGGCCCGCTGCTTTGTTGTTTTATTATTGTTGTTATTAACTTTAGACACAAATAAAGTGGAGTTAGTGGATGAACCACTTCTTGTTTGGTTTATTTTCAAGCTTCTATCTACTGACGTCCTCCAGGAAAATTAGCGATAGGGTTGAATATGATCCCATTTTGAGTGAATGAATGCTGGGTAATGAGCAAGTAGTAATATAACCAATGCAAGAACCGACTAACTATCTCATAGATCAAATTTAATATTAGCTTGACAATTTGTTTTCGAAATATTATGTGAGATTACAGGCAGAGATTATAAGGACATTACATCACTCAGAACCCAAAGTTTTACATTTAGGGTATCATAGCTACTTCCTGCATCAAGGAACAGTACAAAAGACATAAAACTACAGGATGTTCCATTTTATACACTTACAAGTATGACGAAAGTGACCTAAGATGAAAAAAAATCATGGTAAATAAAGTTCTAAATTTGTTTTAGAATACGCACTGGGAAAACTCCAATCACACTAAACTATTAGAATTGGTACTTCAAGTCACAGGGCACTCTGGCGGTGAATTGGATGGAACTGCTTACGAAATGTTAGCCGTGAGATTATTATAAGCTCTGTACGTGCTGTTTCAAGGGTTAAGGTCAGACGATCGTGTTGGCCAATCAATAATAGCCTAGGAACTGTACATCAAGCTAGTTTCTGTTAATGGTGGAAGAACGAGCAGGCCACATTTCAAGACACCTTCAACGTTGTCCATGTTTTTAACCTTTCACATGAATGGATTTTCTCGAATGTCTCAACATTAAAAGGTCAAAAGTTTTAAGTAAAATCATAAAAACATATGGCCAATAATTTACTATTATATAAAAAATGGAAACAAAATCATAAAACATATGGCCAATAATTTACCATTATATAGAAAATGGAAACAAAATCATAAAACATATGGCCAATAATTTACTATTCTATAGAAAATGGAAACAAAATCATAAAAACATATGGCCAATAATTTACTATTCTATAGAAAATGGAAACAAAATCATAAAACATATGGCCAATAATTTACTATTATATAGAAAATGGAAACAAAATCATAAAAACATATGGCCAATAGTTTACTATTATATAGAAAATGGAAACAAAATCATAATGTTATGTTCAAAACGCTCTTATACACAAGTCAATACACTTGCATTTAAGAAAAAATATATTAAGCTATAATTTAAACTTTGAGACCGTATTTAGACAGAGTATACATATTTCATACAACATATCCCTCCTGACTTTCAAAAATGGATTAGACAAAATGTACTTATTCTGTGAGAATACGTTTCTTTTGGCGTCTAACTTTGTAGTATATTGAAGGAAGAATCCTCTCAGAAGGTATACATTGAGACTTAAAATCAGAACTAGAATATACATAATACGCCATGCTTGCTTAAACAGAAGCTCCCAAATTGGGGCAGCGGACCCCCTCGGTAAGCCTCAGAAAAACGTTAGGGAGACCATAGCAAATACTGTTAAGGTACTCATATTTATAGATTTATCAAGTGGGGCTTCAGTCAGGATATAGAATGTTCTTGGGGGCCTTGTGCTGGGAAAACTTGGAATCCTTGTGCTTTGATACCCTCTGGGCGCTTCCCGAATCTTTTCTCTCTTTACGTATTTCTCAGGTTATTTTGAAGTCCCCAACGCGAGAAATAATTTTTTGTTATTGTTGCACAAAACTACACAATGAATTATCTGTGCCCTGCCCACCAGTGGTATGGAAACCCGATTTTTAGCGTTATAAGCCTCAGCCTTACCGCTAAGTCACCGTGAGGCGAGAAATAATTAAATGGAAATTTATGAGCAAAAAACAAGTAAGCGTGATATTTGTCGGCACCTTTAGACGTTCAAGTTGAATGAAGAAGGGCAGTCTCGTGTACGCAAGTAAGTCGTCCGTTTCCTAAGGCATTCTCCGAGTCACTATTTTTAGTAAAAGTCTGTGTAACAGACCCTTCTAATTATGATGAAGAATGCCAACACGTGAGTCCTTGTAGAACATCACTGTCAGACATGCTCAGAAATACAAGACCAAGTGAAGGAATCTGTAAAGTAAAAAATATGACAGTCCAGGAATGACATGCTATACATTCTATCATATAACAGGCTTTGCTCCCTAATAATAAGCTGCATAATCCCGTCTGATTCCCTCTCCATTGTAACAGTGAGTTCTTAATCTTGAAAAAGAAACATCGTTTGTCAGGACAAGCTTTGTATTGACAGCAAAGAGAACTTTGTGTCTATGATAGTCTCTCTTCTGAGGGGGATTTTGTTTTAATGAAGCGACATAAGGATAATTTACTAGATATGAATAGGAGAAGTAAATATTGTTTGTATAAAAAAAAGGAAAAAAATCAATTTAAAATGAGGAGGATTTATTTTTTCACTGTCTTTTAATATAAACCATAAACAAACATTGACCAACGAACATCCTAGGAGTAAACGTTGTAATAAGCCATAAATATACATTGACCAACGAACATCCTAGGAGTAAACGTTGTAATATTTAATGATAATGCTGATATTTAATCTGGTTAATATACGAATTATTTGGATGCCAAGTATATTTACTCTATAATCTACGGTTTGTGAATGTAAAGTACTTTTACTCTAGTTATTCTATAGTTCTATTGGATGTTAGCTAAATTTAATATTTGTAATTTAACATATTCTTGGATGCTAGACACCTTCACTTTGTATAATATATAATTCTCTTGGATGCTATGTACTTTTACTCTGGATAATCTACAGTTCTCTTCAATGTTAGGTACTTTTAATGTTAGTGATCTACAATTATCTTGGATGTAAAGTACTTTTACTCTAGTTATTCTATAGTTCTATTGGAGGTTAGGTACTTTTACTTCTTGAAATCCAAATTTATTTTGGTTGTTAAGTGTTTTTTCTTTGGATAATTTACATCTCTTTTGGATGTTAAGTATTTTTACTTTTGGTAATGTAAAGTTATTTCTCTTGATGTTAAGTATTTTAATGATAGTTACTTACAGTTATCTTTGATGTTATGTACGTTTACCCTGGATAATTTACGTTTCTCTTAGATTTTCGGCACTTTCGCTCTTATAATCTCTCACCATTTATGAATGGTTTTAGCCATTATATCCAACAGATTCTTTAATATAATTTAACTAAAATGTGAATAAATGCTAATTGTTTAATCTCGTTTTTTTTGTTTGTTTTGAAAGATCAGAGGAGTCTTCTTCATAGTATTGTTTTCAACTTTGGCATTCACCCAGTTTATTTCGAAGAAGGCTTGAGCTGTCCTTGAGTCTAGGACATGGGCGCAAACAGAAATATTTTCAGGGGGGCAAAACATGTATGTAGGGGAACAGCTTTTACAGTGTAAGTCAACAGACTAAAATAATAGATGTTATGTGTGCTTAAACGCAAACACAAATTTACAGTTTTATTGTTTGTTTGTAATTAAGCACAAAGCTACACAATGGGCTATTGGTGCTTTGCCCAATACGGGTATCGAAACACGGATTCTAGTGTTGTAAGTCCGCAGACATACCGCTGTGCCACTGGGGGCATTTACAGTTTTAATAAAAATTACTAAAAATATTTAGTTTAATCACGATGTTAAGTTTACACCATAATAGTACGTGCAATTTTTTGTGAAATATAAGGGGGGACAAATGTCCCCTCTTGCCCCTTCCTGCGGGTGCCCATGGTCCAGGATTAGTGTTCTTTTAAACGATTTCCTAGTCTTCTGATTGTCGAGCTGACACCAGCGCCCACATACGTTGAACAGCAGAATTCATAAGTGACACGTGACTGTTGAGAGAACTGGATTTGAGATTTAAACTTGAAAAAATCTTTGGATTCTCAATAGTGGTTAAACACACATTGCAGGTGAACTTGTGGATACACTCTATTGATTATGGCATACAATTCATTTCTCAAAATTCGCCAGTGTGAGCCTGTGTGTGGTGGAGAGATCATTACTCGTAGTTTTGGAACAAAATAGCTCAGTGACTTGGAGAGGTAACTGTTGAACGGTTTTATTTACGGTAGAATCTATAAAGTTGATCAAGAAAGAGTTAAGTTTTAAAACGGATTTTAGTCTGAGTAACTCTCGCTGTAAAAGTACACAGGAACTGGTGATTCTGTGTGTAGAGTCCTGTGTACGTCGATTTCTGATAACAACCAACATCAAAAAGTCCTTGTTTGTTGAACACATTTGTGCAAGAAAGGATAGAGCAGAGTGTTGTGGTCGTTCACAAGTAAACTTTATCTAAACTAACATAAGGATTGAGATATTATGTGATTAACCTTTATTAACAACCTTTATTGGAAACAATAGGTCTAACGGAGCAATCAGATTTGTGAATCTTAGGCAGTCCATAAAGTGTAGCTGACAAGTTTAATGTAATTATAAGTACTTTTATCCAGTTTGTTTTATCTTAAAGTAGTAAAAATTTCCATAGCTTACAAAACTTGGTAGTGTTTCTAATTACCAATTTTACGTTGTCATTGTAGTGTTCTTTGTTCAAAATAACTGTGCCGTTTCTTTTGTTAGTTTAATAATAACAATACTATTGCTTTACCTAATTTCTGTAGTGCATATTGGTGTATAGAAGACATGTTAATACTAGAAATAAACGACCTTATAACACCAAATTGTTTTAATGGAACGATCTTGAAGAAGCTGTAAATCGAAACGTTGAGCGTTTAATTAAATAAAA